TATATGTTTTTAGGATGTTATTTTTTGGAATGTGGTCATATTGCTATAGAACAGTGACGATTCTTGATGCAGTGCTATATATAAATAAATATATATATATACAATATATATATATAAAAGAGAGATGTTTTTAGGATGTTATTTTTTTTAGATATCGTTGTATTTTGTTGATGAGCTTTGCGTTTTAAAATACGTCATCAACGCGCGCCCGCTGTGTTACCCGCGCCGTTCCTACAAGCGTGTGTTTCCATCTTCAAGTATATAATCATTGGTAAAGCTTCGGCAGCCACTGCCAGAAGCATACGTTGTTTTTCCATCGTAATTGTTTTAGGTGAGTCCAGTTTTACCTTTATGGTTTGATACAGTTGCTTTATTGTCAGAGGAATTGCGCCATTTATCATCAAGAACATTGTCGGCCCATATGGTTTCGCGTTGAATAACTTTAGCCAGCTAGTTAGCTTTGGTGTTTATTGCATGCACAGTTTAGAAGCTTAGTGTCGCCTCTTTCATTAGTGTGTGGCTGGCCGTGGTATTTTAATAGTAGATGCCATGTAGAGAATTCCACAAGATGAACTATATCGCGAAGATTTCAGAGTTACCACAGCTAATGAAAGTCAACTGTGAATAAGATTTGTTTTAGTATAACGGTGCTAATAATGCCCAACTCTGTCCCCATTCCAGCGAGCTTTATTTGGTTGTCTCTGCGCTTATAAAACAAATCAGCCGACTTCGTAGGCACATTTTCTAGCAAATTTGATTTTGACCTGATGTAGAAATTATCCTAACAACGCTTTGCTGTACATATGTAAACAGGTAGCTAATGTAGTAACGTTGGGGCCAGGCAGCTTTGGATAGGTGTTTTAGCTTGTAGAGCTAACGGTATCAGCATTTAGCGTTCATTAGTTAGTTGTTAAAATTGTGCTGTGCTAGCTTACATGTTCGCTCAGACAGTATTTGTCAACTAGCTAGTGTTAGCAGCAAAGGCCATGGCATAGTTGCCTTGTGCAAAACACCAGACATTTAGTTGGCTGACGTGGGACAAGACTTCCAAACACTCGACTTGAGAGGTTCGTCCTCACAGGTGTAGCTAACGTTACGATTCAACAATATTTAACTGTCATATGTTGCCATCTACCTATGAAACAGTTTGCATCACGTTAATTCCTGTTGGCAGTTGTCAGTAGCAGCAGGTACTAATCAAATTTCGTGTTGTGATGTTTCAACATATTTGGTCAGAATGCATGTGATTTCTGTCATTGACACTGAACAGTAGGCAATGAGAGTGATAGATATTCTTTAATTAAATAGCACCATATATATATATGTGTGTGTGTGTGTGTGTGTGTATATATCTATATCTATATCTATATCTATATCTATCTGTATG